CTTCTCCCTCACTCTCTGCCCCTGATTCTGAGCTGGAAAAGATCTATTTTTATGAGTAGAATTTGAAGAGAAAAAGTGAAGTTGCAACATGCCTGAAGGTTCAGGCCTTAGAAAGAAAATATGTTGTTGCCAGCTCTTTTTTCCCCTTGAGCTTCTCACCCTGACCTCAGCGTTGTCTCTCAGCTCAGTGCCATCCTTGTGCAGCGTACGCTAAGCCTGTAGGGTGTCACCGTGGCATACCTGCCATGGCATCGGGATTCCTAATTTTTATTCTGCTTGAACAAAAAAATCTCATGCTGCAATTTTGTCATTATAGAAGGATTGGCCACAATAGTTATCTTTCTTATTTGTTTCTAAACCAATACTGTGTATTCTTCAGTCTTGAGCTGTGAAAACCTCAGGCAGAACTTGTACCCATACCTAATCATGTCTTGCTTTTTAAGCCTACCCCCATTTTGGAGTAGAAGCTGTACTGCTGGCAGCGATGACAAATCAGGGGACAGAGGCACTAGATCGAACGTACATCTGTCCCTCCAGGATGCAGGTTTCCTTCAAAATGTTTGCATCCCCAGTCTCTGGACAGTAGAAGTAGTTATTGGGATTTCCTCTCCGTGGGGAGTCATTATGGAGTGGTGCCCGGGGAAAATACTGGTTTTACAGACCTCTAAGTGGTGATATTTTTCAAGATGCGATCCACTCAACAAGCCTTCCAGCCAAATCAGAAGGTCCTTGGTAGGCCACCGTACAGAGGAGCTGTGTGTTGGTAGTGCGGTTTCTCATACCATAGGAGCACGTAACTTTTCTTTTAACAGAAAACTGTATGTGCCGATTGTTGTATTAGCGTACCGATAAACTTACCACCAGTGTGCGTTATCTCTGCCTCGCTCTGGGGAGCATCAATGCGTCACCTTTCTGTTCTGAAGAAATTTCCAGTGCTGCGTAATTGGCACCATTGGGAATCAAAGGGAGAAAGCAACAGGCGGCAGATGATCCTCCAGAGCTGCTCTGAGGGTGCATGAGCTGGCATGAGGCTGGGGAGACAGCCATCTGGTTAAGGGGTGGAATGATGTGAGACAGAGGTGAGGAAATGTTGTTGCTCGAGAGAAATCACAACCAACGGCTCGGCCACAGAGTAAAGCAAGAGTAGCATTTGTAACTGGTCAGTAGCAAGGTAGAGGATGGGAGGGCAGAGAAAAGGACAAAAGAAAGGGGCATCTCCTCTCCCACATAATTGCTTGCAAGCTGAAGAATTAGAAAATACAGAAATACTTGCTTTTTGTTTTACACTTTTCCGCCAAATAGGATAAACAGATTCAGCATCTAGGGTTCAAAATGCCTCTGGGACGTGACAAAGCAGGAGTTTGTCCTCACCCCTCACTTAATGCCTTTTCTGTTTCTGTTTTAAAGTCATTGTTCTCACCAACCACATGCATAGATGCTTGCATAAGCTATAGCTTGATATAGTACTATGGATTCTTCTAATGTCCAGGAGATGTATCTTGTTCCAGCCTTCTGTACCCAGGGGGTCAAAACAGCCGTCGTGGAATTGCCTCTACTTCCAGTGTGTGTGTGCGTGTGTGACAGATCCCGGGTATCAGTTATGAAGTTCATATGCAGTTATGAAGACTGCACTCCAGAAAAAAGCCTTCGCTTTCTTCAGAGGAAAGTCTTAAGAAAAGGAAGTTGAAGAAACTTTGGGAGAAAGTCTAAAATTCTTCCTTCCTTTCCGCTCCCTGATGATGGAAAATGGGCTTCAGGTTTGGCAGAGGAGCTTTCAAGGGAGAACTGAGTTTTCCGGGAAGAGGCTTAGGAAGTACAGGCAGATGATGTTTTCCCGTAGTGCCCTTTTTGGAAGTTCCCCCCAGCCTAAGAAACAAGAAACCATGCCACACATAAGAGGGGGCTCTGTGCCTTTGCTGTGGCAACTTAGCAAACTCTGCTCTAACCCACTAGCCTGGCTAGACTTCACCTTTCTTGTATCCCTCCTTGACTTCTGCTCTTTTCTCAACTTCTCATTTTCTTTTCTCAGCTTTTCGTTTTCATTTTCAACATTTCTTTTCTCAGCTTTTCATTCTCTCTGTGATTTTTTTCATCACTCCCTGTGCTCATGCTTCTGCTGCTCTTATCCCCAAACCAGGACCCAATAGTAAAGGCCAGGAAAAAGGATAAAGTGGGGGACTGGAGTACTTTACCTGGAGAGCTGCGTGTTGCCCTTAGAGGACAGCATCGTCCTGGCTCACCAGAGGAGAAACCCCGTCTACCTCTGCAAATTCAGGGTGACGCTCCAGAGGACGAGCTTTTCCCACAGCCGTCAGGAATGGGAGAAAGCCTCGTGGTGGCTCAGGATGCAGCTGGAGATGTTTGGGTGCAGGGAGAGAGGAACACTGGGGAGTTGTGGCTGAGGACCATTGATAAATGGAGATGTAACTGGAGTGTTTGCTTCCCTGCTTGATACAGTTTTCACTGCTGTGAAGCAGCAGGCTGCTAACTCAGGGTTAACAGAGGCTTTTTGTGGCGAGACAGAAAGCGAGAGTGTGGGTATGTTACAGACTTTAATGGGGTAATTTGAAGGCAGACAGGTTAAGACTTTGATCTGCTTCTTTTCATTTTTTAATCCATTTGCAAAGTCCATGTAAACAGAGCCGTGAAAATGTAGTGTGGTTGGGTTCTGCTATGAGCAAATTCTGCCTCAGCTGTGCATCTGTCTCCTAAAGGTTGGCACTGTCTGAAGGACAGGTGTCCTCAGGAAAAAATATCGGGCAGTACCACTTCTGCAAGTGGTGCTCATCATCATCCATCCTCCAGTTTTTTCTTTTGTCACTTTGTTTCATAGCATAATATTTTACATACATTTTCAATTTAAATGTTAAACACTACTCTGGTACTTGCATCAGGAGTTTCTGTACTCGTTTACTTGTAATTAATAGCTCCATTCAAGGTCAGCAAGACTTCTCCCAGGTGCCGAAGTGAAGCCCACGCTCAGCGTAACTGGCGGCTGCATGAGAGCGAGCCGGCTTGCCAGGCTGCGGCATGTGGGACCCGAGCCTTGCCGTCGGGTGAGGTTGCACTTTGGGGGGTCACCCCTTTCCAGCCCCCCTGGTGCTGAGGCTTTAAGGAGAAGTAGAGAAAAGAGCATGCACTTGTTTGAGCTGCATACAAGCCACGAGCCAGGTTTTACTGGGGGCTACCAGGCCTGTCTGGGTGTCTTCTGCTGACCTTGTTACGGCCGTCAGGACACACTTACCAAATGGAGTCGTTGCCAGGCAGTCACATTAACGAACAGCTAGCGTTAATTTGCCCTTTGAAAATGAAGAAATCAATATGTTGATCCAGTCGGAAATCCCTTTATTCACAAAACAGTCTACCCCAAACCCCTCCACGTAATTAAGGCTAAAGCCAAATTTTGTTTGGGTGAAACGCGCAATCTGTCTGCTCCCTAAGCTGTGCTGAATGAAGTTCTCCCCTAATGGTGCAGGGAGCAGCTGTCATGCCGTTGCTCTAATAACCATGAGACAAAATGATTAGATTTCCATCAATCATTTAGCATTATCAGAATAGGTCATTTTAATAAAATGTTATCATAGGATCAGTGCCTGTCACCTTAGAAAGGAGAGGGGCAATGATGGAGAGTCATCTCATGACAGCCTTTGAGTGATCCCCCTTGCAGGAGATGCTGGTCCAGATTAATCCGGCAGTCCCCCTAAATCCACCGTTTTTCATGAGGGTGCCTGATACCAGGATCTTTTGAGAGTAAAGACTGTAACCAACTCAAATGGCTTTTTGGTTTTAGCAAGTGTCCCCTTGTTCTTGCACTGTATAAAAAAATCACCAATCGTTCATCGTGGGGAAAACCTAAACAGGTTGTAAGTGGTGTGGGGGACTAAGCCCTGGTTTCAGAAGCCATTTCAGAGCCAGAAGTGACATGCCCAGCAACGCAGGTGGCTACCAAGTGGGCTTTCTGAATACGAAAGGATTTCATGGGAATGTTTAAATGTACATACTTTCCAAAACCCTACTTGGTGCCTGCCTGTATCTTTAAGCCACTGAGTACCTGTAAAGACTTGGCTCCTTAGCCTCCTTGGTTGAAATGTTCATCTGTTTTCAGTGTTTCACCTACTTACCTTGTCCCTTTGTAGTCATCTCCTTGCTGCATCCGAGGTGTCTTTCC